AAATGTAATTGCCCATGGACACATGGTTCATGAGGCAATAAAGATTTGAACTTATGTCTGTCTTATCAGAAAAGCTTAACTTCTCTATATTAAATAAACTTTTCAGCATTAAAAAAAGATTAATGCTACCTGTCTAAATTCATTCTAAGTAAAATCCATGCTTCAATGTATGATAAATAATACCAATACAGTAGTTACATTTGCTCTACACTGAAAGAAAATTTTTCAGCCTTTGTGCCCATAGATAGGTGTTCAGTTTCAATATTTTTGAGCTAATCCATTTACTGTCACACATGCGGCACTGTAGCAAAATTCATTATTTTCTACTCATCTCTATTTTAATGGAAGCAGGTTCAATATTCTCTATAAAGGTCATAATACTAAGCACAGTATTATCTCTCCAAATTTTTAATAGACAGGTACAATTCAGACAAGATAAAGAGAAATCTATTTCAGAGCTTCTGGAGAAAACACGGAAGAAGTGAAAGGTTTCTTAATAAGTATATTGCTAATGTTTCTTTAGACAGGCTTACAACGGCCTTGTGAACTCTGAGTCATTGAGCGGATCTTCTGCTCCACGCATCGTGATCACTCTGGGAGGTCAGATGTGTGCTTACTTCTTGGCGATGATCGAAACTTTTTTCTCTTAAGAATTTCAAAGATGTAGCTTCCCCGGCCTTTTGTTTTATTCCTTTTGGAGGCTCTAGCTTTGCTTTCATTTTAGAAAAAATAATCTTCCACGCTTCAGTTTCACCTAGTTGTTTGGAAAGAATGAGTCAGAAAGTATACCTCCTTCTGGTTTCTTGTTTCTTGTTTAGCATTGTTTTTTGTTCATGTGATTCTGTTGCCTTGATCCAAAGCTTCTATGTTGTTAGGCACATGAATAAAGAATCAAAGAGGCAACAGAGGTCTGGAAGGAGGTGGGATCTTGGTGAAGCCAAAGTATCCAGGTCAAATAATGTGAAAGCGCAACAGAAAATCCCAGCAGTTTTATGTCTTCACATATGGTAAAGTTCTGTCAGCAATGAAGGTAGGGGAAAATAGGTACAAGGATGAATAATATTAAACCTGAAAATAAACGCAGACAGGTAAAATAGACCAAAAAGTGATGAATCACAATGAAATCGACAATGTTAAATAAGTGCTGTTGGCTTTGACAGCTTCCTAAAGAGGGAAACTAAGAGGCCTCTAAGAATCTTAGAATTTGATACACAATGCATTTGACATATTGATTGTGATTAAAGAAGACCCCAAAATAATGGATTAGTTCAAAGACACTGATTCATGACAATTACATAGTATTGTTTTAAATTTCCAAAATTGTCTTCATAATTTGTTCTCCAAATAACTGAGATTTTCTTCATAATTATGATAAAAATGTTAATAACACAACAAGTACATATAAGCTTTATATAGAGAGAAATTGGAATATGAAAATAATAAATATGCATATGAATGGCTTTCATAAAGCATTATTATATATCATTAATAAAAAGCATTGATACATGAAAATTCACTCATTTATGATACATGATCAAACCATAGGCACCATATGTTAAGCAACACAATACTTCTTGAATTTTGCATGCAAATGGACGGAAATAGAAAACACTATCCTGAGTGAGGTAAGCCAGACCCAAAAAGAGGAACACGGGATGTATTCACTCTTAATTGGTTTCTAGCTATAAATAAAGGACATTGAGCCTACAATTCGTGATCCTAGAGAAGCTAAATAAGAAGGTGAACCCAAAGAAAAACATATAGGCATCCTCCTGGATATTAACCTTCATCAGGCAATGAAAGGAGACAGAGACAGAGACCCACACTGGAGCACTGGACTGAAATCCCAAGGTCCAAATCAGGAGCAGAAGGAGAGAGAGCACGAGCAAGGAACTCTGGACCGCGAGGGGTGCAGCCACACACTGAGACAGTGGGGATATTCTATCGGGAACTCACCAAGGCCAGGTGGACTGGGTCTGAAAAAACATGGGATAAAATCGGACTCGCTGAACATAGCAGACAATGAGGACTGCTGAGAAGTCAAGAACAATGGCCCTGGGTTGATCCTACTGCACATAAAAGTTAAATTCTTGTGTGGTTTAATTAATATTGAATTTACCAGATATTGTGTTACACATTATTTATTTTGTGTCTGTGAGTGTGTTTTTAGATGGGTTTAGTATTTGAACTAGTAGACTGAGAGAAACAGTTTATTCTCCTTACAAGGGAGGTAAAATATCTGTTCCTTTAAGGACCTGAATAGAAAAACAAAATGGAAAAAAAAAAAATTCTCTGTACTGAAATGCTTCACTAGAGCACTGGTCTGGTCCTGCTATTGGGATGAGATTTACACCACAGTGTTGCATATTGTAAGTCTCTGGACTTAGACTTGAACAAGTCAGATCTGACATTTTTCTTCTTGTATCCCAGGTTTTGTACACAGAGTAGAACACACCATGGACAGGTTTACTGTTTTATAGGCCTTCAGTGGTGTATGTATGTGTGTGTATGTATGTATGTGTATATATATGTATATATGTATATATATGTGTGTGTGCATGTTTGTGTATGTGTGTATACATATATATATGTGTGTGTACATATATACATACACATACGTATATACGTATGTGTATTTAATACTATGTAAATAATAAGGACATAGATATGCAAGGTATTGTATGAATACTAAATAAATATACCGATATAAATGAGAAAACTCCTTTGGATTACAAATTTGAGAGTTGCTCAATGGCTCACCATAGCATTCAGTGTTTTTTTTTAAATCTAAGTATTTATCCAAGAAGCACAAAATTTTTGTCTGTAACTTGGATACAGATATTCATAATATTGTAAGGTTTCATGGTCAGAAATGGAAAATTTTTAAAATGTCTGTCAGTAGGTGAATGGATTAGAAAAATGTAATGTATAACATAGTAAAATACATTTAGGGATAAAAATGAGTGAACTATTAATAAAACATCATGAACTACTCTGAATGTAATTACAGCGTGAGATAAATGTAACAAAAAGACAGGGATACTCTTCAACTCCATTTATAAATAATATTTGAACTACAAATATCCATAATAACAGAAGTAACCTGGGGATATGAAGGAGATGAGCAGCTTCGAGTGATTTTATAGGTGAAATTAATTTTTACACATGATTGATACATTTATTTATAGATGGTAGAAGTTCATAATTGTGCATACATATCACAAGTTGTAAACTTTAGACTTAATAATATCTGTGCTAATCATCTTTTTCATTGTTAAGACATCCTAGAAAATCATATTAAAGAAGAAATATTTATTTTTACCTCAGAGCATCAGAAATCTTAATTTATAAACCATTGCATCCAATGGTTTAAGGCAATAATGAGTCAGAAAATCACAGGGAGAGGAGCATGTGCTATAACAAAGCTGCTCACTTCTTTGCAGCCAGGAAGCAGAAAGAGAGGGTGAGAGAAGGACCAGGTAAAAGTTACACCTTTCAAGGGTAAACTCCCAGTGAACATCTTCTTTCTTCAACTAAGCTCCCTTTGCTAATCGCTCACCCATTCAGTAATAAGACATTAATAGGAACTAGTTTGGAGGCTAGCATAGGGAGCACAGTTCCTCTTATGTCTCTGACTAAAGACCAATCCCTCTCTGTTTGGGGAACATCACCTCCTTCAGCCCAGTACACAGCTTCAGGTGGGAATAACCCACTTCATCTTGCTTTTGAGAAGATTTTAGATCACAAATTTTCTCCAAGAGTTAAAGAATCAACAAATTAAGTACTGGTTGAAAATATTTTATCTAACTACTATAACTGCATTTAGTGGTAGATCTAAAAATAAGTTTATAATCTAATTGGGAATTGTCTTAGTCATTTTTCTACTGCTATGAAGAGACACTCTTACAGGTGTCTCTTACAGGAGAAAGCATTTAATTGGCGCTTGTTTATAGTGTCAGAGATTTATTTCATTGTCATCATGGCAGGGACATGGTGGCATACAGGTAGGCATGATGCAGGAGAATAGTTAAGAATTCGACATATGAATCCACAAGCAGAAAGAAGAGAAAGACACTGAGTTTGGCATGGTATTTTTGAAATCTCAAAGCTCACCCCCAGTGACAAACTTCTTCCAACAAGCTCACACCTCCTAATCCTTTCAAATAGAGTCACACCATGGAGACTAAGTATTCAAATCTATGCACCTATAGAGGTCATCTGTTGATCCGGATATTCATTGTTACATTTGTGTTGATTTCAGGTTTGGAGTATTTTGAATATACTAAATATTTGAGAACAAAAGAAAAGACATCAGTGGGTTAACTAAATGATGAAGTTTGTACTATCATAATTCAATCACTTTTTCAATACAATAGCCAGCTAGATATTTAGTTTTCACTGACTAACTCAAGTAGGAAGTAAACTTTATGATTGAACTTCACCTATGTCATATGTTCTTACAAGTCAATTTTTCTCCTTTTAGCAATTATAGGAAAGATTATTCAGTCACACAGTTACAAAGTAAAAATGTGTCTAGGTAACTCTGCCAACTTTAAGATATTACATGGGCTAATGAGCTACCACTTAGTCTTAGGATACGAGCAAAGGAGATGTGAGCTAGACAGTTTATTTTGCTGTTTTAAAGTCACTCAACAAGGCCGGGCGGTGGTGGCGCACGCCTTTAATCCCAGCACTTGGGAGGCAGAGGCAGGCGGATCTCTGTGAGTTCGAGGCCAGCCTGGTCTACAAGAGCTAGTGCCAGGACAGGCTCCAAAGCTACAGAGAAACCCTGTCTCGAAAAAACTAAAAAAAAAAAAAAAAAAAAAAAAAAAAAAAAAAAAAAAAAAAAAAAAAAAAGTCACTCAACAAGAATGTATGAGCAGCTTACGTTCTCAAGTATACACTTTTAAATAAAATTGCTATTCAGCTTTTGTAAGAAAAATGGTAAGTTTTAACACATCCTTTGACTTCCTTCTTGTTGATTTTGGTGTGTCTTGCAGCTGCTGAAGGGATGGTGTGCAATCACCTGTGTTCGAATGATGGCTGCTGGGGACCTGGGCCAGACCAGTGCCTATCATGTCGGCGCTTCAGCAGGGGAAAAATCTGCATAGAGTCCTGTAATCTCTATGATGGGTAAGCGACGACAAATCCACTTTAAACACATGAGCTATGAGCTAACGACGAAAGCAAAATCTGAGCTCTAGAAAAATGTTAAGAGTTTAAAATGTTAAGAGTTTACGAGTCTATCAAAATTTTTCAAGAGCGCCTGTGATGCAAGAAAAGAGATAAGAAGTTGTTTCAAGGAAAAGTAATTTTTGCTTGAAATAATAAGTCTGATATTGATCACCCTTCACATTTTAAAAATGTTTGCCAAGATAGATAAATATTAATGAATTTTACCCACTTACACATTAGTAAAACTGTTTATTTTCACCTTGAATTATGAGTAGATCATTAAAGCCCCCCCCCCCCCCCCCCCTCCGCACCAGTGGTTCTCAACGTTCATAAAGCTACAGCCCTTTAATAATCTTCATGACGTGGTATGCAACAGGTAACCCCAACCAAATTGCTATCATTGCTTCTTCATAACTGTAATTTTGCTAGTTATGAAACATAGTATAAATATTTGTCAAACGGATTGTGAACCACAGACTGAGGACCCCTGCCCTTCACCTTATTCCTGCTGCAGTTTCCCCTCTTGAACCTTTCACCTAGAGTGACCACAGAGCTCCTAATTATTCTCCACCCAGGTTGAATGGCTTATTTCCACCTGAGAAACAGCCCATGTCTCTGTGTCTTTGACAACCGATGAGGAGTATAGAAAAGCTACAGCTATGAGTTAAGTTGAAGAAGTTTGAAATGCGCTCTGCCACTGCCTAAAAAGAAGGGTTTCGACTAGTGACTTTAATTCCCTGGGGTACTGCAAGCATCACGTTGCGACAGGAAAACTTAGTATCCACTCTCTACTGTGGCATGTCATACCCCAGAAAAGCGCTTTCTCAGCACAACTTTGCACATCATAGTTGCCTTTCGTTTGTGTGATAATATATTTCTCAGTGCTGTTCCTACGTTAGTTTTCCTCGTATATCTCAATGAAAGTACTTTTGTAAATTATGGAAACTATATCTTAAAAACTGATTAAACCTGTCAAATAAATACACATTTATAAAAATGAGAAGTCCATTTATAAGTATATATTTATAAATACAGGACAGAAAGAAAACTTTTTGATGGAAAAATAAAGTTGAACAATTCAGTCTAATTTGCATTCAAATTCAAGTGGCAAAGTAATAACAATGAACATTCAAAATGGAAGAGACAGTACCTATAATGGAATCTTGAAACCCTGAAGCTTTTCCTAAAGGGCATTCATTCTTAATCCTTGAGATCAACACATAAACACGAGAGGGCACGTCAGAGGTCTTTGATGGCAATTGCATATTTAAAAATCATTCCTGAGTAAAACATGTTATCTCCTTATAGATATACTTAGTTATAGATCATACTTAGTAAACTAAATATCAAGTGTTAAATTCTCAAATACTAGTGTTAGTATAAGATTTAGATTTTGGGGACTCGGTTTTATAGCATTAATTCCGATTTAAAGGCTGACCATGCTAGCGCATTAGCATCTTGACTGTAATCTGTTAAGACACATCCAAGAGAGGGGAACTCTGCAAAAACCACAGTTAAGTCACCAGGGGATGTGGAATAAGAAGAGCAATGCTGGATACAACAATGATCAAAGACTCCGTAACTCTCCAAGACTTCAAGGAGGATCTTTGATGAAAGCAAGAAGCAGTCAGGAGCCCTGTAAATGAAATTAGGGAGGAAAGGTGAAGTCCCTCCATTGCTCTTAGGACACTGTGTTTACTCTTTAGCTGTGTATGTGGAGAGGTGCGCATTGGGTAGTGGAAAGGGGACCAACACCGACTACATTTTAGTAGCATAAACTTATGTTGTTCATTTGCCAACATAACCCTTTAATGGCCAATGACTGTATTATGCCAAACTTGTAATTACATGAAACTCAGACTCTCATAAAATTTCATTGTACATTATTTGTACTGTTTGTAGACTTAAGTATTCTACTTGGGTCATTTTCAACTTTTCTTCTGAAGACCTCCTCAGTTAAGTACTTTCTATCTCTCATGTTAATGAAGAACAAAGAGAAGGTTTATTTATAACTAAGATTTCAAACAAGAAATTTCATAAAATGTTTAGTCTAAAACAAATTAACATCTTACCGTATAAGTACTAAATTAATGTGACTGAATGTGTAGGTCCTATACAGATATTAACCTACCAGTTCTCTACATTTTAATACCAAACTTAAATCCTCGTCTTTTGAAGAAAGCATAATAGCATATGTGTATGAAAATTCCTTAGGAAACCCAATAAATTATATACTAATTTTAGAAATTAATAAAACAGAAATCTAACTTTTGAATTAATTTAGCCAACAGAATATATAACTTACACTTTGGAATTCCATTTCTTATTAATACTTTAGATCTTCAAATAAAAAAAGAAGTGATGATTTTTTGGGCAGAAAATATTTTACAATTTATCACCTAATTAATTATAATTACGCTATTCATGTTAATATTGCTTTCAAAAGATAGCTCAGGCTCCAAAGGCAAAACTTTTGAATAAATTATAAGTATAGATTTAGTTAATGACCAACATTGTTAATTACTACTAAACAACACTAAATTATCTCACCCAACATTTCATTTTGTATTTTAGTGAAAATCATGTAATTTTAGCATAATATAGATGACTTGACTCCACTTATCAAAGTAACATATTTATATTAGACTTTGAATGAAATAATTATGCATTTAAAACCTGCAATATATAAATAGACATAAAATATACTGATATAAAAATAGAGAGTCCCTATCATGGTAGATGACAATAATAAAGTTTTATACTATAGACATTAAAATAAAATGTTTAATTTATTCCATATAGAATTACTTCAAAAGGAATTTAGACTAAAGGGAATGTTGTGATATTTGATCAATAAGAAAATAAAATCTAGCATAAAAAGATATTTTTTTTCTAATTCTCCAAGGCAGATATTTTAAAAAGAGATAAGATATCAAAGTCTGTTTTGAAGTTTGACCAAAAGTAAGTTTAATAGTCTTTAAATTTGAAGGACAAGGTTGGAGAACATTCATATATCTTAGCAATTAGAACACTGAAATAGTTTAAAAATTAAAACTTCAATCAAGGGTAATATTTCATGTGGAAACAAGCAGAATAGTCTTTCTCAAAGAAGTGGAAGTTATTCTGCTGTGTCATCAAAAGAGAATTATTTTCTATTTTTGGAAAGCACTAGAATCTCTCTGACAGAATGAGACAATTGGTGAACCCAGTTGAGACCAAATAGAACCATCTGGCTGCCATATATCTTTTCTTTTAATAGAAAGTTTCCTCCTTAATGCACAGGAAAATGCATCTGTGGCTCCCAGCACAGTAGAGAGACAAACTCAAGAATTTACACTGCCAACAGGACTCTTAGCAGATCTTGCCTCATTTGTTAAGTTGACGGCTTGTTTGCTTACACCTCCTCATGCCGTTGATATTTTCACAGGGAATTCCGAGAGTTTGAAAATGGTTCCATCTGTGTTGAGTGTGACTCCCAGTGTGAGAAGATGGAAGAGGGACTACTCACGTGTCATGGACCGGTAAGCCTGAAAATGTTAGTGGGTGTGATGGCTTATTCGTTATCATGTATATAAATGTGTTGCCATTGTTTAGGGTCAATCTACTCTTTAAATTGGTACTTATAGGAAACTGAGGGGAAACATGTTTAATATTTGAATCCAGAAGCATACAGTTTAGTAGGAGAGATAAAATATTAGGAAATTTAATATCATATAAATATTTTTCCCAAAACATTGTATTTGAGCAGAAGAATAAGAATATAGAGTTGTCTTGAGACATGACACACTATTGAAAAAAAGATATACAAGTGATCCACTTAAATGATAATTTAATTAATGAAATCTGTACAGAGGGTTTAAAAAAACAGTTGAATGAGAAAATAAGACGTAAAAGTGAAAGGTTCATGTGGCTTTAGTGAGATTTTCAATGTCTCTGATGATGGCAGGATGAAGCATACCAGGAGGAGAAGCAAAAAGAGCTCCCTAAACTAATACCTAAAGAAGTAGAGTCAGTATTGTATTAGAGAGATAAATCCAAGGAGTAGATGTCCATCATGAAAACCTTAAGAACTGTGAAGCCTTATCCACAATTCAAAATTCTATTAGGGAGAATGTTTTTCTAAACCTCAGCAAACTCCTCCTCCTACTAGTTTTCCAGCACTTAAAGTTCTTTGAACAATGAGATCAGTCTGTGCTTGTCATTAGAAAGTGATGCATGCATCCTTCTTCAGACAAATATTTTATTCTTCCATTACTGAGACATCTCTTAGTAATTAATTACCAAGAGGATCAACATTTGGGTATAAGCAAGAATTAAGTCTAGTTTCAGAAAAAAAAAATGTATTTAAAATCTAAAGAGCACATTCCGGTGCTCCACTGTGGGTCTCTGTCTCTATCTCCATCCATCGCCAGATGAAGGTTCTATGGTGATATGCAAGATATTCATCAGTATGGATATAGGATAGGGCCATTTCAGGTTCCCTATCCTCTGCTGTCCAAGGAACTAACTGGGGACATCGCCCTGGGCACCTGGGAGCCCCTCTAGGTTCAAGTCTCTTGCCAACCCTAAGATGGCTCCCTTAATTAAGATATGTGCTCCCCTGCTCTCCTATCCATCCTTCCTTTATCCCAATCATCCCGTTTCCACAAGTTCCCCCATCCTCCCCTTTTCACTTTTCTCTCCCCATCTCCCCTTACCCCCATCCCACCCCACCCCCAAGATCCCAATTTTTTTCCCGGCAATCTTATCTACTTCCCATATCCAGGAGGATGACTATATGTTTTTCTTTGGGTTCACCTTCTTATTTAGCTTCTTTAGGATCACAAATTATAGACTCAATGTCCCAATGAGGAGCAGAAGGAGGGAGAACATGAGCAAGGAAGTCAGTACCACGAGGGGTGCACCCACCCACTGAGACAGAGGGACTGATCTATTGGAAACTCACCAAGGCCAGCTGGACTATGACTAAAAAAGCATGGGACAAAACCAGACTCTCTGAACATGGCGGACAATGAGGGCTGATGAGAAGCCAAGGACAATGGCACTGGGTTTTGATCCTACTTCATGTTCTGGCTTTGTGGGCCAGCCTAGCCAGTTTGGAGGCTCACCTTCCTAGACCTGGATGGAGGGGGGAGTACCTTGGACTTTCCACAGGGCAGGGGACCCTGACTGCTCTTCAGACTGGAGAGGGAGGGGGAGAGGAGTGGGGGGAGGTGGAGAAGGGTGGGAGGAGGGGGAGGGAAATGGGAGGCTGGGAGGAGGAGGACATTTTTTTTCAATAAAAAATAAAAAGAAATCCATGAAGGTCTAGTATCAAGAACATTTTTAATTATATATTTTATCATGACTTGTTTGGGTGTATTTAGTACAAAGTAATTTCATTTCAAAAAAAATCTAAAGAGCACATATTTTTCTATGAATGCACTTATTCAGCATTTAAGTAACTTAGAAATAATATATATGAGGTATATACCTCATATATATATATATATATATATATATATATATATATTCATATATATGAAATTGAGTCCTCTGTGAGCCACTCTGGAACCTTCTCTAAAGGATGTGCAACACGTGGTCTTTCCAAGGACGGTCACAAGTTCAATAGTATATGAAAAGGCAGGCCTTCCAGAAACAGAAACTTAGTTGTGTGCCACGAAGCATGAATGTAAAGAACAAATTACTGTTTCTTGGCCTCTAAGAAAGTATGTCCAAGGGCATCTGTAGGTAGCTTTTCTCCACTGTGAAGAGTCATGAACACACAGTTGACCTGGTACATGAGACATACCAATTCCATAAAAAATAGTCTATAAAAGGAAAGGAAGTTTGCCTACTCTGTTGGTGAAGCAAGCTGAGGTGTCTACCTGGGATCCTTAAGGCTTGCACATTTAGGTAACTATTTGGCAGTAGGTGTTGGAGGCCATGAGAGTTGAAGCAGGTGGCAACTAGTGTTCAGATACCAACCCACCAGAGGAGAGATTCTCTGATAGAGGTTAATCCTGTCCAGGTAAGACCTGCAGGATTATTGACTCGGAGAAGCTCATATTTGCTAAAGCAGCTTGATATCTCCCCAATACCTGTATTGTAGTATGTAATCTCATGTGATGTGTATAAGTAATCTCATGATTACAATTCAGTCTTATAGGCACATGTATCTGTGGCTGGTCAGGAAGATGATTTTTCATTTATCTGTATAATTTTGATATATAGAAAATATACTAGAATATTCCTCATAAATAAATCCATTGTTCCACAAAGACTGTAGATACTTAAAAGCCTGCTTTGTTTCTTTTGCTAAGACTAACTGAACGCAATTAACTGTCTTTTACCACAGAGCAAGTTCAGACTGGAATAAAGCCGTTTTGTAAATACATCATAAGTTTAAAACTTTACAGTTATGTACAAGGTCAGAGTCACAGATGGCCAACCAGGGTTGCTTGACAAAGTAATCTAAGAGTAGCATGCCAATTCTTTGCTTACAAAGTCTGTTGACAACAGACCTATGGCTCAAAGTTTGTCACTGGGCATACCCTGTCTGGTAATGGTCTTATTCCTATAACCTTGGAATCCTGTGTTGCCCTGGTAAATGTCTCAGCTCCTTATTGCTTTCCTTAGGAATATGATTTTGACCTATGAGAGATAGCTCTTGTAATTTTTGTATTTCTCCAAGCCTCCTATAAGAAGAGAGCGTTCAGGCTAGAGAAGAAGCAGCTAGGAGAATTTAGAAAGAGGGTAGAAAAATTAGAGTAGAAGCAAAAGAATAGAGACTTGTTTGAAGCAGCAAGTGTGGGAGAATTCTTTTGCTCTCAGATACCCTAAGAAAAAATTTCCTTTCAATTCCTATAGTGTCCTATAGTGTTCAATCTAAATCATGAAAAGGACCTTGGGGCTGGACCCCAAAGAACCTCATTAAGTAATGAATGAAAACAAGGTTTCTTCTGGAGTTTAAAAGCTTAAAATGAATGAATAAAATAAATAATATTGTGCCTTTTACTGCTATGCCTGGTATCGTGAGATGGGTCTGGATATAGTCAATGTGTATTAAACATAGGCGAGATGAAATACCACTGAAAAAGTGACTCCCAAGTTTGCCCATGTGCAGATTGTTTAGTTTGTCGATTGTTGCAGGTGCTCCGGCTCCACTACTTCCTGTGTATTTCCTGCTACTGTCTGTGACTTAATATTTTCATGACATGTATCTTTCCTCTTCCTTTCCATTATTACTCTTTCAAATCTCAGAGAAGTATTCTTACTTTGTTCAGTACGTGTCATTGTTTAGATGCTTGCTTTGCATCAAACTTCATTGTTGTTTTTTACATATTAACACTCATTCAAAGTATTTTTCAAAAAAATCAAAGATGAATTTCATATCAGTCTTTTCTCAAATATTTTGCATTCTACATCTTAAAGCTCATTTATCTTAATATTTCAAATTTTCCTAATTTTTTATACTTCGAAATAGCCAAATGTAATTAATAATTCATATTTTTAGTATAATTAATCTTATTGGTAGAAAATTAATATGTTTAAGTGAAGTCTAAGTATATTATTTGATACACCATATTTTGCTAGAATAATTTCATAGGAGATATCTATTTTAAAATATTTGATGTTTCCAGACTCGAAAGATGTCTCAGTGATTAACAGAATTGGTTGTTATTCCAGAGGATCCAGGTTCGATTCCCAGTATGCAAATGGCACTCACAATGCTCTGTAACTCCAGTTACAGGGGCCTGGACACTCTTATACATACTTACATGCAGGCAAATCACCAATGCATGTAAAAAGAAAAAAATGATATCTTATGCAAAAGATATTGGCATACATCCTTCATTCCTTTTATGTGATTACACTAGTTTTCAAATGTCAGAATTTTCAATTATCATGTTATTTACTAATCAAAACTGATAATTATGAAGCTCACTGTAGATCGTATTTACAGCTGGGACTTAACAGATATCATGCATGTTTTGAGAGCTTTGTGCTACATCTTTTTTCATATATTTTCTCTTCTTGTCTGCTAGGTAATTTCTCCATTCTACCAAAAAAGATATATTCTTTAAATTGCTAATAAATTTCTCACTATCATGAGCATAATTACAATCCCACTCTGCATGATCAGGGCTTAGAGCACTCGACCTTCTCCCCCGGGGTGCTCCTTCTGCTTTTTTGTCTTCTGCTACATGAACTTATATAAGTGATTACCTGTTTATTAATTTCTTTCAATGTGTATATTTTTATAGCTTCTCACTTATAAGTTCTCCAAAGAAATTGAGAAAATTTATTTTAAAAGATGCAAACATTTTATAAAAATTATATTGTTTGATGACACCCCCTGAACTTGTATGATACTCAGAGTCCTAATTCCAACCAACTAACAATTTGAATTTACTTCAAAATTATTTGATATGAAAAGCAGACATAATAAACATTTTTGTTTCATCACGGTAGTGCTTATGATACTAGATGTGACATGAAAATACAGACTTTATAAATCTGGAGAACAAAGAAGGCAGTTAATCAAAACACTTGAAAGTTACAAGGGCAAGGAAGATAGAGAATAAAGTGTGAAGTGGGGAAGGAGAGACAGAGAATTTCATGGTTAGTTTGTCAAAGTTTCCAATAGGATAAACATTTATAACTACTAAAGTTCACCAATATTGTTAAATCTGAGGAACACTGTGGCATTCCTCACTTAAAATATGAATAAACTTACCCATAATTATATAGCTACTTCAAAAGCCAGTGAGACATGAAGCTTCAATTCCATCGTAGAAGTTATGACTCTAAGTTTTTCCTTCCAGTCATTGTAGTCTTCCTTCCAGTGCTGTACAAGGAAACAGTGGAAAGGTAAATAGATAAGAGGAACCCAGCAGTCACTGGAGGTCGAAGCAGATTCCAAAGAGGCAGGAATAGAAGAATCAGATTTGGATGCAGAGAACAAGCTTTCAAACCATGTTTAAAAATGGAAAGTAGCTGTTAGAATGGTTCATCAAAGCTGTGCTAATATGTCAATTCTGTTCTTTCTTTGCTCTCAGAAAAGCATATTAAATACTTTTTATGCAGGGTACTCTGAAAATCTTGGAAATATTCAAAGTGAACCATCTTCCTGTTATGACCCATAAGCTCTGATTTTATGGCATCTCCATTTCTACATGAAACATTTGATAGTGGCAACACAGAGAAAGGAGGCTAGAGAGTTCAGCCCTCACCCCTTACTTAATGGCTTCTATTTCCATTTCATTGTTCAACATAAGCTTTATCTCACCTGCACTGACAGGTGAATGGCAGTCTTCCCACAGGGATGAAAGAACATTTTTATATGGTGGTAAATAGTAGCTTTCTTTTCAGTAGAAACTACTTGGGATAAGTAACTGCCACAGAGAAAAATAACATAATGCACACATTAGGATTTAGTCTGTGACTTTGCTGCCTGTCTAGATTATTGGGTCTAGAGACAGTTTAGAACCAGGGAAAAGGAGATGCATCCTTCATCTCCACAACTTTGTCACTCACTGCCTCTAGACACTTATTGTGCCTTGGGAATAGCACAATATGGGAGACTGAGCATTAGATGTTTGTCTTTTGTTATGAAAGTGAAACGGGAGCCAGTGCACTTCAAGTACTTGGAGCTTTGTTAGAATGCCTTTGAGCTATGTCAGCTGGCGTAGGTTTTTGTGTCATGGTGAATCAAATAGGCACAAACTAGCTGGTTGCATTAGACTATACTTAACAATTAATTTTAATTCATCACATTTTGTATGCTAAGATTTTTTGCCTACAAGAATTTAATAGAAAAATATGCCTAACTGAGACTCTGCTTATTTACATATGGCAGGCTTTATTCTGTGTTCTGCAATAAGCAGTGTCTCTTGTCTTGTAGAATAAGTCATGCCACTGAACATACTTGCACAGCAAATGATTCTGTATAATAGGTAGTATTACGTGCCTAAGTACCCATGAGCAGGTGTTAAAATTGGAAGCATGTGAAGTATTCTTTGGGAGGAAATGAGAAGTTACCATTAGCAACTCTTAAGTTAGAACGGGGATTAGGTTTCCTATGCTAATTTAATTTTTTTTCTTTTCTTTTAGCTCTTTGCTTCACATCAAAACAATGGAATAGATAGCTACTTGATCTAAGCTCACTGGTTTCTTTATGATTATATTTTCTTCTTGACTTCACTATTTTTCATTAGATACTTCAATCTTTGGTTTTGTGCTGCTTTATATTACTGACTTATAATATCTAGCTGATTTTTAGGTTGCCGTTACCCCCACAAATAAACATAACTGCACAGTCATCCCTTATTAACAGTTCAGCATAATGTGCTCCAAACATGGTCTCAAGTTCACAATATTAGCAAATATGAACTTGGTTTAATTGTGTCCTTGATTGCTCACTATGTCCTACTTATCTAAGCTTTCTTCAGGTGTGCTGTAATAAGTATTCAGACTTACAGACATAGACAGATAACAGGAAGACTAGAACTGGAGGTAAACAAATTCCAAACAAGTCATCCATGTAATTTTATTGTCATAAACCCCCTAAGCAAACAGAGTGGCTAGAAAGGAGGGATGATAGTATCAAGTAGGACATAATTAAAATAACAGAATATGCAAAGATTTGGGCCCTTCTGAAGAAAAATCTTGAGACTGAGCATAGTGGTACATTGCTTTAATTCTGCAATCTGGATATTGATAAGTGAGAATTATAGATTTGAGAACACTGGGTTTCACTAGAAGACACTGTCAAAAAATAAAAGTAGATATTGCAAATGAATATATACTATTTTTGTTAATGTTTTCATATTAGTGTGGTTTATCAATTTTCTATTTATTAAAATCATGTATATTGTAAAAGAAAATATGCAAAATGAGTTCACTATATTTTAATTAATAATTTTCATGATACCTACATCACTGGATAAGATTCTCCAGGCATTTTTTTATTTTAAAATAGTTATTATATAATTTTTAATATTTTATTTTTTTTGAATAAGTACTATAAGACTCTAAAGATTGCCCTATAGTTTGCATATCATTTCCTTTTAAGCATCATTATAAGATGATTTAAGACAAAGAATAACCAAGAAATTTATTTACTTACTTATTTATTATTTATCCATATACATTGGTGTTTACCTGCATGTATGTCTGTGTGAGGGTGTTGGATCTCCTGAAAGTGGAGTGACACACATTTGTGAGCTGTTGTGTGAGTGCTGGAAACTAAATGCTGGTTCTCTGTAAGATTAGCCATTCCTCCTAAGCACTGAGCCATATATATGTCTAAGATGTCTAATACCTGATAATTCAATCAAGCTAAATTTTAATTTTATTTCAAATAGTCACTAGGAAAGTTTGCCTCCTATGAAAAGCAATGTGCTCTAATTTCCATTATGCATTATTTCTCATTATTTTGTGGATTTATATCTTCTCAATAATGGTGATAAAACATACAATGGAAACTTTATTATATAGATATACTTTTACTTTATAATACTATTAAGAATGAACCACAAGATGAAAATGTTGATACCCTTTTGAAAGAGCCATTGAGAAACATTAGTTCAAATTAAGCCACAGAGATATTACATGAAGAATAGATGAACTGATTTCAAAAGCAAGATGTTCCCTGAAGAAATTTGATAGTATGATAATAGATGATGGTTCATACACGGAATAGTGAAGTAGAAGTTTAAGTTCTCTTAGTGCTATTTATACTTCAGTGGCCACATCCATGTTAGTGTCATAGGAAGACTTATTGAATTGTCACTCAAAAAATCTATGAAACTAAGCTACATAAATGCTTTTCAGAAGGATTTGAACCCATTTTTATTTCTCCACATTTGTTTTTCTTTTCATATTTAGGGACCAGACAACTGCACAAAGTGTTCTCATTTTAAGGATGGTCCAAACTGTGTGGAGAAATGTCCCGATGGCCTACAGGGAGCTAACAGTTTCATCTTCAAGTATGCGGATCAGGATCGGGAATGCCACCCCTGCCATCCCAACTGCACCCAAGGGTAAGCATCCTTCCTGGCCAAGGACGAAACCATGGGCGTGTTTTCAGTTCAAAGGATGAACATACGTATCAGTATCTGTGATGATGTCTCCTTGCATTACAATAGCCTCAGGAAATGCTATTCATCGTTATAAATTACATGTGGATTTTAAAATGGTATTCTTTTTAGGAGAACCTCTGAAATGTCTCCACTGATCATTTACCTTAGGAACTCCTTCATGAAGCCAGTATGATTTGGATGCAGTCTTGAAACTGTCCAATCTTTACAGTAGACTCAGTGTATATTAGAAAATGCAATGCCATACATGTATGAGAGATTTCTCCTATGTGGTTCTAATTATTTTTCGTCAAAACTTAAAATGAGTATATATCTTTAAAAATGACTGCCTTGGATTCATCCTTCAATGAAATCTGAGACTATGCAATCAGGGCAGAGAAGAAAACAAGAATAAAATGCTTATATGTGTACACACTACATAACTTATATAGTTGTGTGAGACATTTTATTGTAGTTTCCTTATAATTTAGAGTTCTTTGTCATGAAACCATTCAGAAAGATACATACATATTTTTCATTCAAAAGGATGTCTTCTGCATCATAACCTATGATATTAAAAATTATAAACAAAAATTGGAGGGATTGTTTTTGTTCGATGTTATGGCCATTGATGTTCAAAAGAAGAACATTGTATACAAAAGGAAATAATGCCAACTCTAACAAATTCTAATCTATTTCTTTAGAAAATATCTTATCTCACTAGCAATTTCTCCTTGTTCCCTAGAAAAGTTAAATATTGTTAAAATTAAGAGTAGCTAACTCACTCTATTTTCTCATCGTAAAACCTCACTTTCTTTGTGAGTGTTTACTCTCAGTGTAGGCAGAGAAACAGACAGATGTACACACTTGTTGAGAGTTATCTTGGGTGCTTTATATCTGGCAGAAAGTGGAGGTTCTGTAAAGAGATTGTTCTGACAGATTGAGCCCTAGCTGTTAGAAGATATTGAAAAAGTGAAGTGAACAACATAATTTTCTGCCAAGAAAACATCAATTTTTGGATGTTGCTATAATTTCCTACAGGTCGGGAAATCAGCTAAGTCACTCCATGTAGTAGCAGATCCTCAAAAGGTACAGCAATATTCTGCCCCATGAATGCAAATGCAACATAGAAGAGCTGCCTGCCAACTCCTCAGTCTCTACACAGGCACACAGATTGAGGAAGAGACAGTCAACTATACATTTTGCTTCAAGGAAAACAGAAGTAATAAACAGTTCCCCTTGTGAGTTTTGGTACACTTGAGTTAAAACTATTTTATGAAAACATAAAACCTGGTGCTACTGGAGCAGAAGAGTCAGCAAGAGAAAGAGAAAACTTTGCTTGCTAAAATCATCCACAAGAGGGTTTTATTGTTTTGCAACTAAAATTAAACCAGTAAATTATTCAATATAATGTCGATGTCAACAGCTGTTGCCATTCAAAATGAGACCTTTTGCTGTTTTTGCAAATCTAATTACAATGAAGCCATTAGGGAAATGAAAGTGAGACAAGAGCCTAGTATGGATGTGTGGCTGGAGTGTCTTCCTTGTCAGCCTTTTAAATCATAATTGTATAATAAAGGAAAGCATATATAGTAGAGGGAAGTATAAGTTGAGGCCAATGAAAAGGGTTCAAGTTACCGTAGCAATGAAGCTTGGATCTCATACAAAAGGGGTGCTGAGATTTAATGGGAACCTCTAAATAAATAGAAAAATGCCCTCAACGGCTTGTGGCTGCAGAATGGTGAATCAGAGGATGCTGTATTTCTTAGCATCTTCCAGGGTAATATGTCTCCAATGAGGACTTTGTCCTGAGGTCTTGTTGTTGCCTTCTTTGAGCTTTCCCTTCCTTATTATCAGCAATTCCTACATTGTATGAACTAGATCACACCATACCCACTGTCCTTGGCATCTTGTACTAAAGAAACATATACTGGGAAGTCTGTTTTCAGACTGAGTGTGAGCATATAGAGCTATGGTCCAGAGAAAGATCACAGACAGAGAGAGAAAGATCACAGACAGAGGGAATGCGGGGCTGAATGACTCTCTTTTATTTCTCAGCTCAGCCATTAATTGACCATATGAGTAAGTGTGAGCTCTTGCCAGGCCAGTTCTACTTCAGAAAGCAGGTTCCCTTCCATATGCCGATATCCATCAGGATGTTCAATAACTACGTTAATGGAAAAAGACTTTCCAATTACATTATTTTAGGAAATAAGTTTGTACTTTGAATGCAGTTTAATGATTTCCCTAAAAATAAAATTATGTATCTTATACCTGAAATGTATTTTTACTGCTCTAAAACTGCATTCAATAAATTGACTCTAAAAGTCCCTCTAGTACTTTTTTAAAAGATGAACCATTAGTCCTGATGAGAAACCTCTCACCGATATTTTTAGAAGGCAGAAAAAAAAAAGGAAAAGGAAGAAAGGGAAGAAGGGAGGGAGGGAGGAATGAAGGAAGGGACGAAAGAAAGAAAGAAAAAGGGAACAAAGGAAGGAAGGAAGGAAGGAAGGAAAAGAAAAAAAATGTCTCTTCTTGCCTTGGCTGGAGGCCACATTTTTATCAACAGGTTTTTTTTTCAGTCATTCTTTAGCTTCTTCTGTGGGATTCAAGCTAATCAATTTGTTTTCTTTCATTTACTGATCCAAATATCATCACCAAAAGCAACTAGGAGTAGGAAAAAGTTTATTTCAGCTTGTACTTCTAGTTCACAGTCCATCATTGAGGGAGGTAAGAACAGAAACTCAAGATGGTATTTGAAACATAAAGAATGGAGGACCACTGCTTGCAGATTGGTCAGAATCTCATTGCTTAATTAGCATTCTTATACAGCTCAGGACTATGGTAGGCACCTATGGTAGGCACCCCAATAATGAGATGAGTCCATGTGCATCAATTAATAATCAAGATAATACCCTTTTGATATACTCACAGGCCAACGTTATCTAGGCAATTCCTTCATCAAGACTTCCTCTCAGATGATCAAGTCTGTGTGTCAAGTTGACAAATTAAACCCACCTAGGAGACCTATTTTTTTTAATCAAAAGTCATTTTCAGAATTAAAACATTCATAGATTGCTAAGGACTCACACTTATGTTATTGAATTTATATACCAAAACAATACCTTTTTATGGTGTATTGAAATGATGAGTTGAAACAAAAAGTAATAAAAAAATTAAAAAGTGAAGTTTTCTGATGTTGGCGTAACCCTATAATCACTAGGAGGTAAAAGGAAGAAAATTTCTATAGTTTTGGGGCCAGCCTGGCCTACATAATGAGTAAGTATGCAAGCCAGGCCTCCAGATAACATTCACTCTCAAAAACAAACACCAAAAACAGAACAAGAAAACAACGAATGAAATTAAGGACAACAATAATATATGTATTCATAATAAGCAATATCTGTGGTTAAAGAAACAAAAACTAAATTTATTACATAATGCATAATGACCACAGACATTGTTTTCTACAGTGACATCACTTATTTCTATGATAAATTCATAACTACTTCATTTCCTTTTATTTTAATCCAAACTTGCATTGTAGACATGGATTGCAATGCTCCTTTCATTGAATGATGTTTTTAAAATCTTTTTTTTTATAATTACTTTTTTTTTCAAAGATTTATTTATTATGTACACAGTGTTCAGCCTCCATGTATGCCCGAACGCCAGAAGAGGGCACCAGACCTCATTACAGATGGTTGTGAGCCACCATGGGTTGCTGGGAATTGAACTCAGGACCTCTGGAAGAGCAGTCGGTGCTCTTAACCTCTGAGCCATCTCTCCAGCCCCTGTTTTTAAAATCTTAAAGCTTTGTTATTATTATTTTTGACAAGTATCTTAGTTTCTTTTATCAATTTTTCTTTTTCTAGTTTTCAAGTTTAAATAATGAAAAGTAACCATAGATAGAATGATAGAAATAAAATCTGCTTGTAGAACTAAATCTGTAGCCTTTATAATGATAAAATTGAAAATATCCTTCAATTTTGTTTCAAAAATTGGATATTTTCACAAAATGTCTGAATTATACTTGTCATGTGGGTGGAAAAGGGCACTTACATATCAGTATCAGCAAACATAAGTTAAACTTGTCCCATCATTCTGAATTCATGAGATGGTTTTAGAGTATATATAATGTTATGAATTTCTGTAAATACTATGCTTTGGAATATTAATATTTGCATGGTTTTATTTCTGATCTTATTTTTGGCCCCTTGCTATTTTTTCTCAAAATTTGATGTTTCTCTTACTTTTTAATCTTGCTCAACCAATAAGAATTTTATGTTCCAATTAGCTGCTTATATATAAAATCTATGAAGGACCTAAAATACAATGACATCTTTAAATATATGATAATTTATACTTTGAAAAAGCTGCTTCACGTTTGTTGACCTATATTTTTCTTGGTCTTCACCTGTTCCTTTAACTGTCAGTATATAAACACATTTTAACCTCAGGTATCCTATGTAATGCCCTCAACAACTTTTCTTGACCCATGTTTCTGTTCTCTTAATCCTAATTTACTATTCTTCACTACATAATAGCCTGGCTGGCTCCTATACACTAGTCTCCACATGACAAAGGGATTATAGACACAATTCTATCAATATAATGGTTTCCTTCTCTTTTTTTGTTTTTAGGGAAGGCTTTCAAATTTGGATGTTTTTAACTTTTTATACAAGTGTATGTTGTACACTGAACACCTCTGTTCTTATTCCTCTACCCTCTTCTTCCATCCTCATCCCCATCTTATTAATCCTCTTTGTTCCCCAGGTAGATTCACTTCCTTCATGTCATGTATATTTATATAGTTTTTATATTGCTGTTTAAGATCTAGGAACCACAAATGAGAGAATTACAATAATGATTTTTTCTATGAGGTTGGCTTAATTGTTTCGTAAGTCGATCTCCTGTTGCACAGATTTTCCTGCAAATTATGTAACTTTGTTCCCTGTGATTGAGAACAATCTCATTGTGTATGTTTACCACATTTTTCATTCATATCTCTGAATAGAAAATCTACAGACAGGCATGGCTTTTTTTCAAACAGCACGTAGCTTCCCATTATTATCTGCTAACTTAAAGCCCACCAAGCTGGCTGTTAAGAGTCTTCCATTGTCTTTTCCTTTCTGTGAGCCTGCCATTGTGGTCTCTCTCTACTTGGAACTTTTGTTCAGAGTGTAGAATGCTCCTGAGCTTTTCTTTGCTCTTCTTTTGCCCTTAACACTCAGAGTCACCCCAGCCACAACTCTCGACATTTCAGACAACACATGGCTGACTCTCTCAGAAAGGTGACCATGCCCTTCTAAAACGAGATACTCTGGTATTCCTCCTCCACATTGTATATACGGAAAAGTACCATACATATATATTCATGCATTTCTCATCTTCAAACAGTAGCTTAATGAGAACAAGCTAAAAAGCATCTAATTCATCTCATTTCTTCCTGCAGCTCTTTCAACAGTCCAAGCACTTTAGTAGGCTCATACATTGGCTCATTGAATGAATGAAGATGTTTTATTATTCACACTCTCTCCTCAAAAAGTATTTTACTATTTAGTGTTTTTATCTTTCAAGGGTCATTATAAAGATTACACACAAACTACAGCTTTTCAGACTCTTCTTGGGAAGTAAGAAGTAGACTGTTAATTTTACAAAATGGTAGTACTGTCATAAAAATCCTATTTTGAAGGGAATATCACAGGAACACAATAAAAAAAATCAACTCACTAGAGCAAAATAAAGGAAAATCATACAATACTATTCTAGGGACTTTTAGTAGTTTATTTTCCAATTAAGAATTGTTTTGATTAGATCTAATGTGTGGATCTAAGTCAACAATGTGTTCTTTAGCTGTTGCTTAGCTCTTCATTTTATGCAAATTTGTCAATTGTCTCAGGTTAAAATTTACTTTTGTTACTCAAAGGGGATCCTCAAAACAAAACACAGAAAACTGATTTTCTCCATAGTGGTAATGTTATAGCATATATGATGGAGCAGAGAGATGATGACGTTCTATGCACTCACTAGCATCTCGGGTGAGTTCCAGAAGCTGTATATGGTCTGTCCACATCTTTGGGTGCCTAAGGCTCCTTTTCTGGTTGTTAAACCTCAGAGTTTGAAAGAACATGTATAATCTCTATTCCCACCCAAATTAGGAGCTCTTGTATTCAGACCCCCAGAAGCTGTGTTTCTTTGAAAGGAAGAAGAGAAAATAAGAAACAAATTCAAGCCGGGCGATGGTGGCGCACGCCTTTAATCCCAGCACTCGGGAGGCAGAGGCTGGCGGATCTCTGTGAGTTCGAGACCAGCCTGGTCTACAGAGCTAGTTCCAGGGCAGGCTCCAAAGCCACAGAGAAACCCTGTCTCGAAAAACCAAAAAAAAAAAAAAAAAATTCAACTTAAATACATTGGAAAATAGAAAAAGCATTTCCATAACGGCTCAAAATGAAAAACTAAGGACTATATATGAAAATTCTGTGTATTTAAATGCATTTGTCAAGTTCTTCGTAGATTTCTCAGCTTCCTATTTGTGAGCTTTTGTTTGAGTTCAATATTGCGAGTTCTTTTTTTTTTTTTAAGTTTCTCTTTTGCTGGGCAGTAGTATTCATGCCCTTAATTCCAGCACCCGGGAGGCAGAGGTGGGTGAATCTCTGAAATCGAGGCCAGCGTGGTCTATATAAGCTAGTTCCGGGACAGGCTCTATAGCAACAAAGGAACCCTGTCTTGAAAAATAAAAGTTTCTGTGTACAGATCATGTTTTTGCTATTTAAAAATGATCATGAACTGCAGTGATGGCCAATCAGTTCATCTGAGTTATAAAGAAATGCATGTTTAATGATAAAAATAAAGAAATTCATAACCAAGGATGAAAATAATCTGATTATGTAAAATATCCATGGGAATTACATTAAAATATATTAACATATTTTCTGCCAATATCCATCTTTAATGAACACCAAGAGTAAGGCTATTATACTACAGTCAATTGTTCATTGCCTTTTTATTGATTTTGAATTTTCCTTAAACTTAACGGTGTTTTAAGAGAAATGACGTACATGAAAACATTCATAGTCATTGAACTATCGAGTAATTAATCTAGCTGTGTATAGTGATGAACAATGCAAATGGATCAGAAGCGACTGATGTTTACGAGCATTATCCACAGAAGCAGGTAAAATTCCCGTTGTTTCCTCCATGTTTCTGGCACTGTTCTGAGAAGGTAATTTTAATTAAGTCATAATTTCAGTTTACTTTTTTGTTTTCACCGAGAAATAATTTTTCTCTCAGTCTCTAAAACTACGCTGTTCCAAAAGCTGCCAAATATTAAAATTAAGAATTTGGTACATTTAGTATTTATCTCAGCTGTTTTTGGTTGTGTTTGTTTAATGACTGATTTCTGTTTCCTTGTATTTCTTTGAAATTTTAATCTCTGCAGGTGCATAGGCTCAAGTATTGAAGATTGCATCGGCCTGATGGATAGGTACTTGGTGTGCTTGCTTCTCATGTTCTTCCTCCAAGGCTCCATGCGTGAGCACTGGTGCATGTGTGTGCATGCCACTGTGGATGGAGAGTGATGTTTTCTGTTCTGTAATTGCTTGCAGGTGTAACGGTCCCACTAGTCATGACTGCATTTACTACCCATGGACGGGCCATTCCACTTTACCACAACATGCTAGGTAACATCAACCATGTTTCCATTTTATCGCTCAAATTCTTCCCTTGTTACCACCGACAAAAATACTAACCAATTGGACTATAGTTTAAGCCCATGAAATGAGAGTTACAACAGAAAGGAAAATGCTTTGCTTTTAAAATCATTTCTTTATTTTACCTTCATTCATTAGGATTTCAGAGTTTTGAGTAGTAATGACATTGATTTTAAATTTTACACACTTAAAAATTAGTAATTATCTTATAACTTCAAAAGAATATTCTTAATCTTAGATATAATAGAAAAACTAAAAATTCATAAAGGAGAAATTTGAGAATTTTAATTGATACTTATAAAATGTTTGCTATATAATTTAAATTTAATATCTGATTTTGTGTTATTTTGAACTGTTATATTTCCAGATGAAAAATTATCATAGAATCAATGCAATTTGAAAAATATTTTGTGCATGTTAAACCATATATTGGAATTATAATAACATAATATATTATTCATGTTTACACAAATTTCTGAGCACAAATTTTTCCAGTCGTTTTAATCATAAACAACAAAAACTGGAAGCAAGCGAGGCTACCCTATTGTGGTGTACCTGTGCACTGCAATATGCCTGAGTAATAAAAAGGAAGAAATTGATGCTACACACACAATGGATGGATCTCAAACTCACTACGCTGAATGAAAGAAGCCAGACTGTCAGAAATACATATCGCTTGATTTCCTCTTTATAACAAACTCTGGAAAAGATAAAAATACAGGACTGAAATTCAATGAGAGTTGCCAAAAACTAGAATTTTAGGGGTAAAGTTCACTGTGGAATAGTAAGACAGACTTTTGCAGATGATGAATCAATCTATACTTTTATTGTGGTATTGGTTGCACAAATAAAAATGCTTGACACAAACCATGCCTGATAGATTTTATTATAAATTATATAAACCTGTGGTTTATTGTTTATACATAAATAAACATGATTTTAAAATATTTTGTGAAACATTTTAACTAGGAAAGTAGTGCTTTGCAACTTCATATAGAAATACTATTAGTTTTCAAAAACAAATACATTTGATCATTTTGCAAATACTACAGCAAAGTTAAAAACAATAAAAATTTTAGATTAAGTGTTGCTCTTAATAAAATGTTTTTTGTTATCATATGACAATGAAGCATTTGTAAAACATAATCATCAGATAAGAAGCATAACAAGAGCAATAGATTTCAGGAGCTGCCTTTATCAGGGCTTGCTTGCCATTATTCTAAATTCTAACACCTAAAACAGTTTGTCTAGTGTTTCCATCTTATTCAGTCTTAATATAGTCTTGTTCTATGCATCTGGCTACTTTCACTAAATATTACATGTATAAGATTCATCAATGTCATCGAATCCATTCACAGCTTTTCCGTTCATTTGCCTTTAATTGCTTCTAAGTTTTAAAGTGGTTGAATAATTGATGTGTCATCTTCATGCGTTGTCTGTTAATAAGTAGTGATGACAAGTTCTAAAGTAAATTAGGTGTTTAGAGCAACATGATTTATACAACAGTGGCACATTGATACTTGGGCTGGTAAAACTAGTTAATGTAGTTGTCTTAAGACAGCTGAGAACTTTGACAGCCTTATCAAAACTAAGAGAAGAGGAAAGAGAAGCAATGCATGGGAGTTAAGACAGAAATCCAAGTCCAACTTTGTCTTTCAAGAGTTAACTTGGATTCTCGTCATGTTCATAAACTAATATTTCTTCTTCAGACACTGACTGGGTCCCTGAACTATCATGAGAATGATTTTCCATTTATTCGGATGACTTTATTTATAACTTAATCTAATATTTTACCACATGTTGGTTAAAGTATTTTGACTTTGAAATCATATTTTCAGATTTAAAATAAAGCTCTAATCATTTTTAGACATGTGACTTGAAGGTCCTTACGTTATCTGAGGGGCACAGTTTCATATGCACAGTGGCAGCATTTATGTAGTTCCTAAACTGCTCTGAGGACTGCATGTTTCCTTAGTAACAGTGCTTAGCTCATAGAAACCGCTCATTTGTTTTACACTTTTCTATATAACATTATCATTATTTTTTTTTAGTATAACCAGGATTCTCCAACCTCAGAAATGTGAATTCCTGCTTCTCAGGGAAAAGAGAGAAGTCTCTCAAAGTCACCAGAAAGCATTAATGAGTACTGATGCCTTCTTGATTGCTTTCTTGAGAGAAGGGGGCTATTTCTGTCACTTTGCCTTGAGAATCAGGGAGAGGACACTTGGTCATGGGGAATAGATGGAGAGTAACAGTTCATTTGTAGTTGCAAATGATTTTAACTGATGTCACACAATTCAAAATCATAATGTGTCTAGTTATAGATTTAATAAGTTACTAATTTAAACAAAATGATTAAATTTTCAATCTTATAACATGCCTGGATTTCCATGAGAAAATCCATAATTTCAGACTAATACAAATAATTATCCGTGTCATCAGTAGATACCCAAGGCTAGAAATAGTAAATGACTGTAAAATGCAGTACATCATTCCTAAGAGAAGTCACTTGTGACTCTGCTAACCAGGTAAAGAGCAAAGTTCTTCGGTGTGAACACATGGCTTCAATATGGGTCCTATCTTATTTCTTATCCATGAAATTGGATGATATTATAAAATTAGTTTGAGAATTCTATTAGACAACACATAGATACCATCCTGGACTAAACAGTCACTGACTACACTTATAGCTGTGACTGAAATATTGACATCATCTCAGAACAATTGTATTATATATTGACCTATTTGTATTTTAATCTAATAAATTAGTCAATACAGAATCAACATATTAAAATTTTTCAGATATTAATCATTTACTTTTTACATCAGATTATAACCCAGGGCCATGATTTCAATAGGTAATTGGTAACTTGCAACTAATTATTTTTTATCTGAAACTCTAGATGTATTTACTCCGTGTCTGTTTTATAACTTTGAAACAATGTAACTGTATTTTTAAATTGTGTTGAGTTGTCAGAGTTATGTGACCTGTCAGGGGCTGCACATATGATAGTTGAGAAGGTCCATAAAACATTTATTTTTAATTCTTTGGAGTATTTGACTTACATTGGATGAAATCTTGGAGTAGTCAAATTCCCCCTCAGGTTCCACATGTCTATGATGAGATGAATGTGCATTCGTGAAGCAGGTTATCCTTCACTAAGATCTCAGCACCTTTTCCATCTTTCAGAAACATTGATAGTTTTAGAAATGTCCATCTTGATTGAGTAAAGCAAATATTTCATGGTGGGAAGACCAGAAATAAGACAATGGGAAATGAATATTTTCAGCTTCCTAATCCACCTTTTAATTGGTACAGCATCCAAATACTTAGTTTTGTATTGTTGTCACAGACAATTACGTTGAGCATGCCAACGTTGTTTCTTCAAAATATTTGTAGGTAGTACTCCTCACTGCCCCGCTGTTTTTGTTTCTGTGTTCTGTTTCCTAACCCTGCAGGGAAAAGAGGACTGGAGATTTAAATGAGAGCAGGTAAAATGTTTCTGATCTTGATTGACTTTCATTTTCAAAGCAGTGTCATTTTTTTTCCCGAAACCTGCAATTTGTAAATTGGTTTTCCACACTCCATTTAGCTTACAAGCCATTGCTGGAGTCTCTTCCAGGAAGACTGGTGAGATACGCTAAAAAAAGATCGAAAGACTCTGTTTTGTATCATAGAATAGCCTACTTACGTGGAAAATAAAACCAGTAATTATCTATTCTTTCTCTCATTCACATTTTCTAATCTAATTAATGCCGGAATATAACATTTACTTTGAGCAACCTTTCCCCAAATTTTTGACCTCCATTATTCTGGTTTCCTCCCAAATAACACCATGAGAATTGTGTTTTTCAAGTCTCTTTATTTTTGTGTGTGACATTTGTCTTAGCTAGCACACAGGCTACTTTCATATAGATTCCTTTTGATATAAAAATATTAGATTTATTCTATCTTGGATTCTTTGTCAATATATATGAAATATATGAAAAACTGGAATAGCCTACTCTCATATAGCACGAGGCATGAATGTGTTAATCAGAACAATAATTAACTCTATTGTTGAGGAATTTCTCCATGTTAGCTAGCAAAATGTAAACTAACTATAAATTCATTTTACTTTGTTGGATAAAAATATCAAAATAGATATAAAAATACATACTAGATTACCTATTCCTCTATTCTTATCTGGTCCAGCTCTTTGTTCTAATTAATTTATTTTATATTTTTTGCAATATGTAGTACAATAACTGAATTTATTTTCTCTAAGTCTATAGTGTAGAACTATTTGAAACATTTCAATTTTTTTTTTTTTTTGGTTTTTTGAGACAGGGTTTCTCTGTGGTTTTGGAGCCTGTCCTGGAACTAGCTCTTGTAGACCAGGCTGGTCTCGAACTCACAGAGATCCGCCTGCCTCTGCCTCCCGAGTGCTGGGATTAAAGGCGTGCGCCACCACCGCCCAGCTAACATTTCAAATTTTTATGGTCATAGTCACACTTTCCATTATGGTACAGTGAGGTTTGCCCAGGAGGTCACCTAACAGTTTATGCTTTGTCAAACTTACCTGTGTGTGATGGAGATGAAAGAAATAACATTATAGTCCAGGTACCACTTACATATGACACCTTAAATTTCTTTGTTTTCTCCCAAGGAAGGGAGTTCAGGATTTATGTACATATCACATGCTGCAAATCACCTATAAATGGTGACCTTTGAGAGCCGTAGTTATAATTAATGGTGCCCAAATACAATAAATAAAAGTGCATAGCTTTTTTT